ACTACTACTAGTACTACTACTACCACTACTTACTACTACTACTTACTACTACTTACTACTACTTACTATTACTTACTACTACTACTTACTACTACTACTACTACTACTACTACTACTACTGCCTACTGCCTACTACCTACTACCTACTACCTACTACCTACTACCTACTACCTACTACCGACGACGACGAAGGCGACGACGACGACGACGACGACGACGAGGACTACGACTACGACTACGACAACGACAACGACTACGGCGACGACTACTATTAATACGACCAACGACTACGACTACAAGTAGTACTGACGACTACGACTATTACCACGACTACAACTACGACTACTACTACTACTACTACTACTACTACTACTACCACTACTACCACTACATTGTTGTACCAGGAATTTAGAACAATTAATTGTAGATTGAATCTTGCAATCCTGGTCGGCCGCTGGTCATCTTGCAATCTTGGTCATCTTGCCCCATTTGCCCCACTTGCTCGCTGACTAGCTTACCTTTTTGACCGAGATTGCAAGATTGCTGGCAATCTTGCTCCCCCCGAAGTGGGGCCAGATCTACTACTGCTACTACTACTACTACTACTACTACTACTACTACACTTTCGTTCACCATTATGTTCGTCGATGACTGCTGCCTCTCTCATGTTCTTCTGAGGCACAGCAGGGATACAGGGTTGGATGGAATAGATCTTGGGTGGAGGCATGCTGTTGATGATTCCGGGTCTCTTACTTCGGCCCTCGCACCAAGGATCCTGCGAGTTACCTTCCTTACGGGCCCGAACGGGCTTGTATTTGCGGTGCGTGGGCTTTAGTACGCAGTCCTTGACGCTTTCCGTTTCCCAGTGTATTGAGCTCTCTAGCTTGAAGGCCCAAGTCTAGTACTACGCGTCAGAACATCCTTTTGTTTGGCCTCCGGGTGCAGAGTTGGCTGGCCTCTCATTCCACGTCCAGGGTTGCTGATGAAGTATAAGCATCCTTGTCTTACATTTAAGGCCAGACATGTGCTGTCTCCACTTTCTAGCCAACAGCCCCAGATCGCCTGTAAAGGCACCCATCGCCTGGAACCATATCCCAAATCTTGAGCTCTCGACACCCCAGCCTACCGGTCATGACCGGTCATGCATGACTCTTTGTTGAACCCATAGCACCTGCGAGGTAGGATGAAGGGGTGAGTGACTCCTTTTTGAGGGCGTTGCAAGTTTCTCAAATCCGTGCCCGAGACCTTGTCAAGCCTCCACCTACGACCTTGCGGATTGTGGAAGCAGAGCCGCTGTGCAGAGTGTGTTGGGGCTCCCTCGCCTGGCTCTCAATTCGTCAAATGAGCTTTTGCTGGTAGAACCCTGGATCCCTAGGCTGCAGCCTAAGCCAACACCCTAAAACTCTGAACCCCAAAACTCTGAAACAACCTCTTCTCCATACCCGCCCTTTCTTCAGGCTCGACCTTGCCGGGGTCCCCGAGGTGCCTCGGCCTCTTAAACGGGTTCTGCGGCAGCTTGGGGCATACGAATCACACTTCCGGATTCATGAACTCTGCAGGTTTACGGTTTCAGGATGCATACTAGAAAGTCCTTCTACTCAGGGTCACACAAGAAGCGAAGAATAGGCTCCCGCCTGGATATCACAAGCTTCCAATTGGCCCCCAGCCCCAATCCTCGGATTGAATTCCAAGCGGCCTGTTTTGGTGCCGTCCCAGTAGCTGCAAACGACCTTATTCCAGATTGACCTGTTCCAGTGGGGAGGTTAAAAGACAAGCGACCAAAGTTCGCACCTTCGCCGGGTTTGGGTGCTTCCTAGAGCTCAAACGAGGGGTTTCATGGGCCTTGGCCCGGAGGTTCCTGTGACGCAGACCTTACCGACACGCAATCCCCAAAAGAGCATCCAAAGCCTCGGCTTCTCGACGACGATCCAGACATCGCCATCGATCGACATGGTCATGGCTATCGCCATGCTGTTTCCCTCTCCATGACAAAGCAAATCATCATTATTTGTCGTGGTCATCGCTAGAATCGCTGAATTAGAATGGAAGGGTAGAGAAGAGTTCAGCAACGCATGTTTTCTTGGACAGAAGCCCGATTGCTCTGCGGCCCAAGACGCTTTCCATCTTTCGACAACCCTAAATGCTACTCTAAACTCGCAACCCCCACTTGCTCTCTCTGTCGCCCAGGAGAAAGAGAACATCCCCCTGTCCGTGCGGCCCAAGGAGCGGGTGGATGTCTTGCGTGAGGTTTGCTGTAAAAAGAAGGTTCCCTCGATCCGGGCTTCAAGGTTTGGAGTCCTGCTTTTGAAGAGGTTCCGTGTAACGGAGCTGGGCTAGAGGTTTGGGCGCAGCCCGAGGCATACATGCCCCTCAGCCAGGAAACTTCATGTCAAAGATGTTGAGCCAGACCTTCAATAGAGCCTGAATGTGGCAGCCCTTTACCCTCATAGGAGCTGCGCCGATGATGCCGGCACAATGCTGAGGATGGGTTGCCCAGATTTCGCGGGCAAATTCTTGGCGGCGTGTGTTTGCTAGTTTGGGGCTCTTCACACCAAGATCACAGGATGGTCGCTTGGGCCTCCCAACATGAAGGGTCTCGTTAGAAGCCCTAAAACCGACACACTCCCGATCCGAGGCACCGACAAGTGCAAAGTTCTCGCCCAGCAAGAGATCTAGTTTTCGATAAACGGCAGTTTTTTGCACCAGGGCCGGCTAGCTCCGGGGAAGCAGGCATTTGTTTTCCAAGTTAGTATATACAAAAGATGTTGATTGTGCTCTTGGCTCAGAGGCAGTAGCAGTAGTAGTAGTAGT